CGCCCCATCACACACCAGATTCACGTCTGATAACAAGGGTGCGGTTCTCCTGCAGATAACCAGCTTCCCGCGGGCCAGGTTCCGTGCCTCCTGCTTTACCCAAGTTAACTGCACGCAGCCTAACAACGTTCCCAGGGGACAGGTACCATCGTTATTCCAACTAACAGACAGGCAGACTGAGGTCACACAGCCAGAACCGTGAACCCAAGTGTCTTGCTCCCCACCACTCGGTGCTCTGCCTCCGTGGAGATGGGAAGGGGGCTGATGTAAAGGGGTGGCCGGGAAGGACAGTTTACAAGCTCCTTCCCCAGCAGGTCAGCTGTGGGAATGAGCACGAGGAAGTGGGGAGCTGCAAAATGGACTTCTTAAATGTGCTCCCACCGCCGCCCTGGAGAGGTTACACACACGCTTGTTCAGAGTAAATGCCGCCAATGCCCAGCACCCAAAGAACCAAGTAAATGAGACACTCACTGTCACTGCTGCCGTTTACAGCAGGAGGGAAGTAACTCCCACGACGGGGCAAGCACTGCAGATCTAACCAGCGTCTTGGTCCTCCTTCCCACCTACAGGCCCAACATCCTTTACTAAACGGTAGCCAATCCCCAGGTGATACGAGGCCTGAGAGGCTTTAGTAAATGGACAGACAGCCTATTACCATGTGCGCTTTGGAGACAGACAGACCCGCATTCAACTCCCAGCTCTAACCATTGAACAGCTGAGTCCCTCAAGAGACGTCACAACATCTGAGTCTGTTTCCTCATCTCCAGACAGACAGGAAAACTCCACCCACATCACCAGGTGGCTGCACAAAACAGGAGAATACCCATCAGGGCACCTGACACAGGAAACACTGGCAGCCCTTCCATCACTGACCCCTAAGTGACTGGCCAGTCATCTCCAGCAGCCACAGCCTGGGGACCTGGCACCCAGAAGCCTGGCTGGTTTTTAAAAACCAGCTAAATGGATTCCCTTCCCATTTTTGCAATGAGTTTCTCTGTGTCTTGAAATTTCAAGTTCTCCAAACACCCGGGGATGCCAGGAGGAGGTGAACAGAGAAGCGTTGAGGTGGGTTTTATTTTTAGAGGCTGGTGTGGAGAGCATCCAGTTTGGCTTCATTCTGGTCCCCAGCCACCACTTCCTCCCCATGGCACCACCAAAGTGAACAGCAGATACGTCCAGAAAGATTTCATAACTTTCTGCCTGGTACTTAATTCTAAAATAATGGCTCCAGTCTCCAGTTCCAGCCACAGGCTAAGTGGATTAAGGTTTTAGCCTAAATCCTCCGGGGGAAGCCACGTAAACTGAACACACTGACCCCCAGGTTGTCCCTCACGCCCTGAGGTTCCAAGGCCTCCCCCTCGCCTGGTGGGGTGGCACCCCACTGTGTCCCATCTGGAATCTGTGTGAACAGGAATCAGGTGTTGGAGGACGTGCACATTTCTTCCCCTTTTAAGCAGCATATTTGTTGGTGAGCACATAAGTCACTTCCTCCAAAAACGGCTCCCAACAGAAATTCCTGAGTGGGCCCTGAGGAGAGAGGCTGGAGCTAGCCTCAGGGAAGCACTGAGCTCCAGCTGCGGCCCAGGCCTGGCTGGTGGAACAGCCACTGCAAGGGAACCACGTGCTACCAGGTAACCATCGGAAGGACTGAGACACAAACGAGCGGAAGCATGCTGGAGCAGGAAGGAGCTGAGCCACCCGGCCCAGAATGGCAAACTTACAATGCAGGCCCTCTCCCACCGCAGGACCACCCGCCCCACAGCCACTGTCAATCAATCCCTCCCTTCAGCCATTTAGATGTAGAACCCTCCAGGCACCCGCAGTCAATCAATCAGAAATGCCCTGAAGGCAAACTTCTCAGCCATTCCTGAACTCTGACTTCCCCCTTTTGATGTACAGAGAAAGTAAGGGCCACAGAAAGCTCAGACCAGACCGAGCACCTCCGCAGAGACTAGAGCCTGGAGGAAAATGCTAGAGCCATGATGAGGGTTCCAGGAATTAATCGCCTCCTTCCCCCATACAAACCTCAGCCTCCGGGTGACAAGTTCAACCCACAGGCTGCAGAAAAGGGAGGCCAGAAGGAAGGACTCGCCAAGGCTGCTAGACAGTTCGCCCCACTTCACCAACCACCCTCAGGGCAAGCAGGTACATTTATTTCTGGGCCACAGAGTTAGCTCCAGGCCCTGCAAGAGCTTCTCTCTGTCCATCCTTCCTTCCTTCTCCAGCCAGTGCGCACCTAACCCAAGTCCACCCTAGGGTGAGGTAACATGGGGGTCAGCCCCCCACTGATTCAGTCCACCCAGGAGCCAGGGGCCCATTGGGAAGGTCAGGTGTGGCCTGACAGCAGAAAAGGGGTGCCATGCGGGAAGGTACACACCCTGACTTGGGGTGTGTACACCAGCTGACACCACTCACAGGAAGGTCTGACATAGGCGAGGGCTCACCCCCAGGACCAAACCACCCAGGCAAGAGCAGGGGCCTCATGCTCCCTCAACAGAGCCTGAGGACAGGCACAGACAAACCGTGGGGGCATCAGGACCACGGACATCTGGCTGGGTGGCTATGCCCCCTCACCCTGCCCACCTTTACCCCCAAGAGCCCCATCTCTTCCCCCAGCCAGCTCCGTCCACGAACAAAGCCACAGCAACTCCATAAACCTGACAGGCCAGCAGCCCCAACCCCAAGCCCTGCCCAGGAGGGAATCACGGAGGTTGGTGGGGAGAAGTTCAAGGCCTGATGCACGAGAGAGAAGAGAGGCGAGAAGCAGGCGCCCAGACCCCAGGAGGGAGGAAGGTGAGCGCTGAAAGGTGGGGGAGGCAGGGCCTGTACTCACCTGCACCACTTCTATCCCTCGCTTCCTGTGGAGGAAAACAAAGAAAACAAAGGTTACTGGGCAGGCAGGAAGTGTCCTTCCAGAATGTTCCCTACAGCCAGCTGAAGGCAGGAGGGGAGGAGAGCCGGTGGCTGCACCTCTCAGGCCATGCTTCCCAGAACAACCTCACCTTCAAGGGGAAGGTCTATGAACTTCCCACCGGTCCTCAAAGCCACCTTCTGGCAGAAAGAGGGGGTTGTTCCCCAGAAGGACTTGGCCAGAGTCCTACAGAGACCCCAGTCCTCACAGCCAGCCATCTCCCCTTCAACCCCTGCCAGGCCTTTGTCAGGGCAGCTCCAGCCTGCACTGCCCGAGGCCCCTCCCACCCCCATATTCACTCCCCTATTCACCCCAGGTCTGGCCCAGCCTGTCCCACTCCAGCCCATCCACTCTCCCTCATGCAGGAGCCCCAAAAGCTTCAGTCCTTCCGGCTGCTTGTCCACTCCCAGCCATTTCTGGCCCCCACTGACACCCTGCCCACCCTCTGACCTTGGTTCAACCATCTCAGCCTCACCAATATCCCCCGGGGCTGGGCCTCATCTCCGTCTCTCTCCCACAATCCCAGGGCCTCTGATCTCCAATACCAGTGTCCTGACTCACCTGCCCCTTACAGAGCTTGGGGTGGGGGTCTCCCCAGAGCAACAAAGGCTTCCTGACGATTCACTCACCTTGACCTTCCCCGCCCCACATTCTCACTGCAAGCAGGACTACAGGGCTGGTCGCATCTCCAAGCCTTGGTCCTTACCTTCCACCTCAGCCTTTAGGATTGGGCTCACACAGAAATGCCCCCAGGAAGCCAGCCCTGACCCACCTTCACCCCATCCCCTCAGAGCCAGAATGCTCCTGAGGACTCGGGGTACCGCTACCGGGCCCTCTGTCACTGGGAGGCGGGGGGAGAGCTGGAGAAGCACAGTGGTCCTTATGGACTGTAGATGGCATGCCCATGTGCATTTTCCTGGCAAGAAGGCCAGGCCTCCCGTAGATGCTCAGGGCTGGGACCAGGAGAGGTCAGGAATCGCGTTTACTGGCCCACATCCCTTCCTCAGAGCAGATTCAGTGACTGTGTGCCCCATGCCTAGCCATGGTGCCCGCCCAGCATATAGATGCTCCGTAAACCTAAATATGTAAACCATAGCTCAGTTCCTGAGGGACTCACAGGCTGCAGGAAAGGCACAACAAATGCAACAGCCATAGCTCAGGCCCTGAGGGGCCCCCGGTCTGAGGGAGGAGCCAGCCCAACCTCCTTGGGGAACAGGCCCTGTCCTCTCACATGGCACAGCTGAGGGGACACCTACCAACCTTCCATTTGTTGGTTCGCTCATGTAACAAGTGGGCCCCAGAGTTCTGAGAGCCCGGCAGGAGCGGAACCTCACAAGGAAGCCACTACAGTGGGGCCTTGATTTATGAGTGTCCCGACTAACGAGTTTTTTGAGATACCAGCTGTCTCTCGGCTGATTTTTTGCATTGAGTTGACAGAGTAATTTGAGTTAACGAGCTCCTTAACGAGCTCGGTCTTGGAAGGAATTAAACTCGTAAGTCAAGGCCCCACCATACCTGAGACAACAAGATGGAGCAGAGGCGGCTCACCAGGTCACACTGTGTGCGGGGTGTACCAGGCCGCCTGCCCCTCGACCCAACACCTCCACAGAACCCCCAGCCCAAACCCAATTTGAAAACCATGGGGTTGATCCCGGGGTCCACACTGTCACACAGCTTCTTTGCAGTTCTGGAAGGAATGGTGGCCAGTACCCATCAGCTGCCATGACTCCATGAAGGGACAAACTGGACACAACAGCACAGCCCTGGGCCATCAGAGCCCGCGGCCGGGGGACAGCCAGCATCGCCAGGACCGGGGCCACACCCAGCCACCAGCTCACAGCCCACACTGTTTCGGAGCCCGGCCTCGTCCCCAGGTTGTCCTGGCCCCACATGAGCATCAGTGACAGTAAACTGCCACCGTCACTCGGCACTCGGCTGGAACTGGCCAGGTTGGGCTCAGTGTACCACCTGACCCCCGACCCTTCCCTCCCCCTGCTTCTGTACAGAATCTTCAACAGCTGAGGGAGAAGTAAGTCCCCAGGAAAGCGCCAAATGACCAGAGCGGGACCGCACGGTGGGAAAGACAGGGACGCTGAGGAACCAGAGGGCACGTGGACGTGACCCACACCAGGTGCAGGGCCTCCCCTGGGTGCCGGCCAGGGCCCGAGTCTTTCCCCCTGAGTTAATCCTTGTGGCATCCAGATTATCCCCGTGTGCCTGTCATTCCCCTTATGAAGCCTAGTCATTGCCACTGTCCGCATGTGACATCTTCCCAGACAGCTCTCCCTCCCCCAGGCCTGCAAACAAACAGGTCTCTAACTTTGAAAACAGATGGAACTGGAAACATCAAAGAAACAAAGAACGCTGAGCACAGACAGGCTGAAACCCTGAAGTGCGGTTGATCTCCCAGGAGTGAGAGCACAGTTCCTGGGTAGCCAGGGCTCCAAGAACAGGAGAACCTGCGACTCAGGCAGAAAGGGGGGGGGGGGGGG